CATTCAGAGTCAGTGAACTGACCTCTTTATAATTATATGTCCCTTGCTGCAATGTCTGCTTTGCCTGATTTTTAAAATTTTAGTTTTTCAGTTACAGTTGGCATACAATTGCTTTGTCTGATTTTAATGTATCCACTCCAGCATTTTTTAAATTAATGTTTTCTTGGTATATTTTCCACCATCCTTTCACCTTTAACTTATCTATATCTTTTATTTAAAGTGCGTTTCTTGCCCGGCTGGGCATGGCTCAGTGGTTAAAGCGTCAACCTAGGATCCAGGCGATCAGGGTTTGATTCCCAGTCAGGGCACATGCCCGGGTTGCAGGCTGCAGCCGATCAATGACTTTCTCATCATTGGTGTTTCTATCTCTCTCCCTCTCCTTTCCTCTCTCTGAAATCAATAAAGATGTATTTAAAGTGCGTTTCTTACTAATCATAAAATTTCTGTTTTTGTTTGCTGAAAAAAACCCTTCATTTCTCCTTTATTTTCAAACGACATTTTCACTGGGTATAAAATTCTGGGTTGAGAGTCTTTTCCTACCAGCACTTTGAAGATGTCACTCCATTGTCTCCTTGCTTGCACTGTTTCTGATGAGAAATCTGCTGTTATTCTTGTCTTTGTTCCTCTATGCAATTTTTTTTCTTTTTTTATTTCTGGCTGCTTTCAAGAATTTTCTCTTTTTCTTTAATTTTCTACATTTTGAATATTACAAGTCTGGCTATGTGTTTGGGGTGATATTTGTTCTGTTTGGTATTTTCTGATCTTCTTGGATCTGTGATTTAATGTCTTTAATTTTGGAAAATTGTTGGCCCCTCACTCTTAAAATATTCTGCTCTCTTTCTTCTCCTTCTTGGATTCTGATTACAAACATGTTAGATCACTTGATCTTGTCCCACAGCCCTTGGGTTCTCCTAACCTGTCTGTGACACATCTCTAATTCTTGAATATCTTTTTAACAAAGAGAGCAGGCTTCAGGTTTAATCTCTGAGTAGAATTGGGTAAGATTGAGGAGGTTCTTGTTGCATTTATCTTTATAGCTGACCTTGACTCATAGTAGCCAGTAGTTATGTTTTTCTCTTTAAATACATCCAAGTCTCTTTATATAAATGGTTGAATCAAAAGAAAAATGTTCAGTAATACCTGGACACAGGCAAAATGGAGATGGTGGTCTGGAGTTACAGAAAGGTGAAAGAGACTTCCCTATCTAGCTTCATCATTTTGAAGCTGGGGAAACTGAGGCACAGAGTGGACCTGGGTCCTCTGCCCTTGGTATTGGAGGATGGGAAGTGGTGGAGGAGCTGGGGAACCCTCACAGAGATCCAGGCCTTGGCCCAGTTCAGCTGCTGCTGGAGGATTGGGCATTGGGCTGTCCCTCAGGGGTCTCAGTTTTCTTGAGTGGAAAATGTGGTTGGAGTATGGCTAGGTCTCTTGGCCTTTCTTGTTCCATCTCTCTGTATGTCTCTGTTTTCTCTGTCTCAATTTGTTTCTCTGTCTCCCCTTGCCTCTGCCCCACTCTGTGTATGTCTCTCTCTCCTGTCTCCCTTTTATCCTCTTTACATCTCTGTCCATCTTTGTGTCTGTCTTTAATGTGTGTGCATGTCTCTGTCTATCTCTGTTTATCTCTTTTAATGTATGTCTCTCTCTTCCTCTCCCTCCTTCCCTCTTTCTCCCATTCTTCCTCTCTTTTCTCTGTTTCTATTTGTCTTCTTTTCTTTGTGTGTAGTTTCTCTCTCTATTTCTCTTTTACTCTCTGTGTGTCTCTGTCTCTCTCTCCTTCCTCTCTCTATTTCCCCCTCTCCTGCTGCTCTCTCTCTGTCTCTGTCAATTTCTTCCCCTGTCTCTATCTCTCTCAGGGTAGTTCTATCTCTCTCTTTCTTTCTCTCCCTCCCTTTCTCCCTCTCCTGTTTGCTCTCTCCCTCTCCCTCTTTCTCTCCCTCTCCCTCCCTCCTTTCCCGTTTGAAGGCTGCCTCCCACATCTGCCTTCCGCCAAGGCCCAGGCTCTGACCCTCCATCTGAATGCCTCACTCCAACCGCACATCTGTGGGGTAATTGTCTCCTAGACCACAAGGTACTGAGGCAAATTATAGTTATGGGGCGGGGGCCTCCATGTGGGCGAACCGCGTCCGCTGGGCTGGGCTTTGCTGGCCTCAGCTGGGTGAGATGGCCGAGGCGTGGCCCCACTCAGGCCATGGGAGCTATGCTTGGCTTCTTGCCCCTCCCCACCCCCCTTGCCAGACCTGCATCTTTTATGCCAAGATGTAAATGCCTTTTGTGAAAGTCAGCAGGAAATGCCAATGTTTGCAAAACCCTAGACACGTTATTCACTCATTCGTTCATTCATTCAATAGATATATTACTGAGTGCCTATTCCGTGCTGGATGCTGTTCTGGGTACTGAGGCCAAAGAGTGAATAAGACAGACAAAAGCTGAGACTCCAATGGGGGACACAGACAAGTAATAATAGTGATAAAGAAAAATAAAGCTGGAGGGAGGAGAAAGAGTCAGGGGAGGAGGAGCAGTTTTCAACAGGAGGTCAGAGAAGGCTTCCATAGGAGGGTTACATCCTGAGACCTATAGGAGGTGGGGGAGGGAGCTGGGTGAATAGTTGCCTCCCCTGCCTCACAAGGGTGAATTCTACTTACTGTGTGTCCCTGGGGTCTGACTAAATGTCTCTGATCCTCAGTTTCCCTATCTGTAAAAGAGGAACAATCAAAGTATTGACCTCACATGGCTCTTGGGAGGGTAGGGTGTGATTGTCCACCTGGTGCATAGTAACTGGTGGATCAGCAGTTTCTGTTAATAACGATGATTCAAATAACCGGGTTTAATGCACATGCTTGCCTTTTGTGAGTGATCATTGGAGCCTATTGTGTGCACAGTTCTGTCCTGGGTGACTGGGAGTCCCAGTGAGGGCTTAGACCTGGAGCCTGTTCTCCAGGAGCCCTCATGTGCTCAGGGCTTGGGCCTGGGGCTAGGAGGGCATGTGTCACACAGGCATCTTTTTCTCAAGGAAAATATGGCTGATAATCCAGGCCTCTTGGGTGGGAGTTAAGAGTGTGTGACCCAGACAATGGATGAGGTGAGGCTGAGTGTCTCTCTCTAACCCTCTCACTGTCTCTTACTCTCACTCTATCTCTGTTTCTTTCTTTTTTTTTAATCCTCACCAAAACATCGATTGAGAGAGACACATTGATTAGTTACCTCCTGCACGCACTCCGACTGGGGCCAGGGATTGAGTCTGCAATCAAGGCATGTGCCCTTGGCTGGAATTGAACTCAAGGCCCTTTAGTCCACAGGTTGATGCTGTAACCACTGAGCCAAACTGGCTAGGGCTCATCTCTGTCTCTTTCTTTGTCTCTGTATCTGTTTCCCTTTGTCTCTATCTAACTCTCATTCTCACTCTGGGGGTGAGTGGGGCTGGGTTTTAAAGAGTGCATAGGAGTCTCCAGGTGATAGAAGAGAAAGGGTGTGCCAGACTGAGAGGATGAGGGGGAAGCCAGCCTCAGTCCCAGTGGGGCCCTTAACCTGGTGACGCTGGGGATCAAGCAGGGGAAGGAACTAGTCAGAACTGTGTTTTAGGAAGATGTCTACTAGTAGGTTGTTGTGGGGCAGAGGAGGTGGGGGGGAAACCTGTGGCAGCTACATTCCCACATGCCACTCTGTCTTCACTCCCTATTCCACAGAAATCAGCCTCTGTCCCCATTTATGTCCAGCACCTGCTGCTCAACATCTCCCGTTCCCTCTGTCCACTCCTAATTCATAGCCTGCAAGGCCACATGCAAAAGCAGAGGCCAAATGCTTTCTAGCCAGACCCTGTCACTGCCTTTCAGAGTCCATTGGCAGGCCCTTGCTGGGAAGTTCTTCCTGCTGTCTACCTTCAGTCTCTCCTACTGCCAGTGTAGGTCCAGGACAACCAACCCACACAGAGCAGTGATCAGCCCCTTCTCATTTAGCTTGTACTCACACTCAGCACTCCCCTAAAGCATAGTGGGGATTCCATCATTAAAACAAGAGAATCCCCCTGGTTTGGGATTCTCTGCTCAGAGGTTGGGAAAAGGAAGGAAAGAAAAGGGAATCATGGCAATTACATCTCCTTCTATGGGCTTTGTATTTTGTCTCATTTCCACCCCTTCACCCCTCCACCGTTGTCAGTGATTATCTGCCATTTTTAAGGTAGGTGGAGTGAAGTCCAGAGAGGCATGGTGACTTGTCCAAGATCACACAGCCAGAAAGCAACACCCTACCTCTTTCCAAATCCAAGGCCCTTGCCCCAACTCTCTTTGCACACTGAGAGCACCTTTCTCATCTCTCAAAACATACCTGTTTACTGTCCCATAGCTTCAGGCCCCACCTGGAACTAACAGTGCCTCTGGGAATGTTCAGGGGTGCCCTCCTCAGCTGGCATCTAGAACAAGGTGGTGGGTGGGTCGCGGTTCCAGATTTTCTTCCCTGATGGAGTTGATGCGGAGGCAAATAGGCCTGGAATGGGGTGGGGGTGGGGTAGATGAGACAAGCTACACTCCTTCCAGGGCTTGAGGGGGGATATTCCCAATCAGAGTCTCATTCACAAATCCATGCTTTAGTGTGATCATACTGACTGCCGAAACAGACACACACACAGTGCGCGCACACACACACACACACACACACACACACACACACACACACACACGGCCTTCCACAGCCTCCTCGGGCTGTGGGTGGCCACTTGCATGAGACTGGTGGCCTGGTGTGTCTCAGATTAACGTATCTCCATTCCTCCGCCTCTCTCTCTCTCTCTCTCTCTCTCTCTCTCTCTCTCCCTCTTCTCTCCCTCTCTCTCTCTCTCAAGCCTATGATCTCCAGCTCTGAACATCCCAGGCACCCTCCTCTGACTCCCCGAAGAAAGCCCCCTTGCCCAGGGCCATGGGAGCTGGATCCCTGCACCCCAGGCAGCCATCCCAGCCCTTGCTTCTATCTGAATAAGGCAAGGTGGGGCCGGCCTCCCCCTCCGTCCAGACATGGAGGTGCCCGGGGCCCCCGTGTCCAGCAAACCGGGAGAGACCTCAGTCAAATGGCAGCTCTGCTACGACATGACAGCCAAAATGTGGTGGATGGTGAGTGGGGAGGTGCCCTTCGGCACCTGAGTGGGGACTCAGGCGGCTGTCATGGGGGCAGGAGGGGGCAGCCGGCAGAAGGGAGGGGGTTTCTCAGATGTGTGAACATTTGAGCATTGGTGCTGGGGTGTCAGGCGTAGTTGGCGGTGGCAGTGACCCTGTCCTGAGCATTTGAAAATGGGAAAGCTGGTTAGAAGTGGGGAAACCGAGACCAGACAATGGAGAGAAAAGCTGTTCCTGAGTCTTGCACTTGAAAGCGTGGCCGAGACTCCCCAGATGCAATTTAGGGTCCAAGTGCACCAGTTTCCGTGCCCCGGGAGGGCGCCAAGGGCGGCCACTGTCTTGGAAGATTGGCAGTGAGTTAGCTGGACTGGAGACCTTGCCATGGCGTCACCACGACTCCTGCAACCCCAGGGCCTGCAATGAGAAGTTGTGAGTGCGGCAAGGTCTTGGGGGCTGGAGGGGTGCTAGGGAGCACCCAGGTTAACTGGCCAGGAGGCAAGAGGCTCAGAGTCTGAGCCTGTGGGACCTTGGTCATTTCTGCGTCCTGGATCCCAGGGAGAGAGTGGGTACCCTGCAGCATCCACCCCTAGGACTTAGCACCCTCCAGAAGTTTCCCCAACCCAGCCAATGAGGGGAGAAGCCAGAGCAGTGCAAGCCATGGGGCCTGGGGATGGAAGCCCAGTGTCTCGAGGCCAGTATGAGGCTATTAGGCCAATGCACAGTTGCCTGCCCTGCTGTCCATCCATCTGTCCACCCAGAAACTGGCCTGTCACCCATAGTGGAATTCTGAAACCTATAAACATGGTTCTAGATCACACATACCCGGGTTTGAACCTGGGTGTGCTGTGTGATCTTGGACCAGTGGCTTACCCTCTCTGGCCTTTGGTTTCCCCGTTGGAGAAATGGTGTGGGGTCTGAATGTCTTGAGCTTCGTGGCCAGTGCTCTGTGAGTCTCCAAGGAGAGTTGGGCCTCAGGGTGGGAGACAACACCTTCTGTGACCCCTCATAGCTGCTGCCGTTTCTTGGGTTCATTGATTCACGCATGTTGGGGACCGTGGGAGTTGTTCTCCCCAGTTTCAAAGTACTGAGGTCTCAGAGTCCATGAGGACAGATTTTCCACATATCCCGGGGGAGTGTCATGAGTTGTTTTCAGTTTTCATTCTTCATTTAGCCAGCATTCATTGAACACCTATTGTGTCTCCTGTTATCCTGGGGACACAGCAGTGACCCAGACAAAGATACTTGTCCGCTTGGGGCAGATGTTCCAGTGGGGGAGACAGAAAATAAAAATATCAGTGAAAATATTTTTAAGTAGGACTTAGTTATGGTTGTGTAAGGGGCTATAAGAAGCTGGGGGGCCTTTGAGACTGGGCAGTCAAGGAAGGCTTCACTAAGGAGGGGACATTTGATCTGAGACCTGGCAGATGACAGAATTCACTAAAGAGGTACGAATTCTAGTCCGAGGGAGGAGTATATGCAAAGACACTGAGGCAGGACAATGCCTGGCATGTTGCAGGAACGAGGAGGCCTATGTAGCTGAAGCAGTGAGTGAGTGAGTGAGGGGGAGGGGGGGTGAGGGCACAGAGAGGGAGGGGGGCCTGGTCACTCAGGGCCTTGCGGACTGGTGGGGACTTGGGCTTTTAATCCAGTGAGATGGGTGCCCTGGAGGGCTGTGAGCAGAGGAGGGATGGGACCTGTTTTGCATTTTTAAAGCTTCCTTGGGCTTCTGCAGGAAGCAGGGATAGTCTGGACCTGACGTGGCAGCCGGAGGCCAGGGGAAGGCTGGGGCAGTGTCAGGCCAGTGACGATGGGGGCCTGGAGGTGGAGAGAAGTGGGTGGGCTTCAGATGAAGAATGGTGGAGACTTGGTGTTTCAGTCAGAAGCACAAATAACAGAGTGACTTGTTCAAAGTCATGGAGCAAGCGAAGGGCAGAGCTGGAAATGGGAGAAGAGGCCTGGGGTCAGAGGTGAGGGTAGCAATTCCCCATCCCCAACCTCCAGGGTCCTGGGAGAGTCACGCAGGCTGGCAGTTTGAGAAAAGGAGAATGTTTCTGTGCAACTTTGAGGTCTTATCAATAGAGGTAAAAGCCCATACAGGGGAGGTTATGGACCCACTTATCAGCCAACGGCAGGAGTCAAACTGGGGTGTATCAGGAAGAAAGAAGAGGATGGGGTTCAGCAGCCTGCAGGGAAAGATTGAGAGACAGGGCTTTAGCCCAAAGAAGACGCTGCCTGGGAGAATTCGGTTCAATTAACCATGTTCCTCCTGACCTTTCCCTGAGGGCCCGCTCTGAGTTCAGTCATCTGGGTTCCCCATAGAGGATCAGTTCCAGCCCCACCCACAAGGAGCCCGAATCACAGGGGCTGAAACAGCCAGCCTCAAGGCAGGTCTCAAATCTTCCCAGCACAGGTCTCAAATCTGCCCTTGAGCACAGAAAGCTGACAAGGCTGGGGTAGGGAAGGGGTCTGTTCAACCCCAGAGGTCAGAGCTCAGCCTCTGAAGGGTCAGTTCGCCTTACCAAGGACTTCCTCCTAATTGGCTGAAAGGTAATGAGGTGTTCATCACAGGAGGCATCCAAGCCCCAATCAGTGGGAGTTTCATGCTCTTCAGTAGCGTGAGCCAGGTGATTCCAAAAAGGTCCCTTTATGCTCAGAGCCTCAGGGGTCCCCAGGGGGGAAGGGGTCCAGGCAGCATGAAAATGTGGGACTGAATGGGGGAGAGAGGGGCCAGAGACTCAGCCTCAGCCCCCAAATCCCAGGCAGACTCAACGCCTCCCACAGCCACAGGAGGCATGGCACCGGGGGGGCCTGCGAGACTTTTGGGGTCCTCGTAAATATTTTAGTTTTTACTTCCTTTACAACCAGAAGAAAGCAGTGATGTAATGAGTACATAGAAACGAATCCAGCTTGGGCTATATTCCTCTGTATACCGATGCAGCCCTGAAAGATAATGCTTAATAATTGTTTTCAAGGAGGAAGGCCAAAGTGCACCAGGCCCTCCAAAGTCATAACAGCCAAGTTCATTCAACCTCTGTTCATTCATCAGAGAGCAAGCTAGCTCACCACCTCTCTGTGCCTCAGTTTCCTGATCTGTAAAATGAGGGATCATGAATAACAGGACCTCGCTCCCAACAGGGTCTCTGTGGGAAATCCAATGAGCAGATGGCTGTGGAGGTGTCTTGCAAACTGTTAAGGACTGTACCCAGGTCAGAAACTGTGTGATAGTCACACAGCTAAAGCAGAAGAGATCGTGGTCAGATTTCAGGAGGACTTCCGTGGTTGTTCCATCTATTCAGTGAGTGCTTGTTACGTGTCTGCGGCGAATGAGGCCTACCCAGCCCTGCCCTTCCTGGGCTCACAGCCCAGCGTGGGGAACAGTAAAAGAGAAAATGAATAAATGCGTGAAATAATTTCAAATTGGGAGAAAGACTGCAGAGACTTTAGAAGAGGGCGATGGGAGCCGGGCGGGCAGGGAAGGCCTCTCTAAGGAGGTGGCATTGCAGTCTGCATGGTCTCAATGGACCAAAAGATCTGAGGGCAGAGAGAACAAGAGCACATGCAAAGGCCCTGGGGTAGGCCGTGCCTGGCATGTGGGAGGGACAGCGAGGCCGCCCTGAGGCCAGAGCAGAGTGAGTGAGGGGGAGAGGGAGGAGGTGAGGATAGGTAGGGCAGGGCTTTGTGGGTCCCAGGGAGGACTTGGGTCTTATTCAAGGGGCACCGGGAAGCCCTGGGAGGGCTATTAGCAGGGGAGGCCCTCCCCCATCTGCCCAAGCAGGTCCCTCTTCCTGTCTGTGAGTGCCACCCACCGCCTCCCCCACCGGGTGCCCGGTGCTGGAGTGGGGGGTCGGGGGCGCGCAGTCTCCCCAGCCCCCGGCCTGCGCCCGCCCGGCCGCCGCCCACTCTGCCCACATCTGAAGCTCCGAGGAGCCGGACAGTCTGCTGCAAACCACGGAATGTTTCCCGGAGCGCCCGGGCTGGGAATGCCGGTGGTGAGGAGGGGAAGGGTGGGGAGCCCCGAGAAGAGAGTCGGGGAGACACAGACAACAGGCCCAGGGCAGGGAGCGGGCCGGGGCAGCACCACAGGCCAACATGACGTTATTGTCAGTGATGCCTCCCTCTTTACAGATGGGGAAACTGAGGCACAGAGCGGCAGATGGACTTCCACAGGGCTGGGGAGAGTAGCACTGGGATTCAAACTCAGACCACCTGGCCGCAGAGCTCGGGGCTTAAATGCTCACCCATAGTGAAGGAGTCAGTGCAGTTCTTTCAGTGAATGAATGAATGGATGAACGAATGATGTAAGTGAATGAAGGCAGAAAATACCAGTTAGCTCAGCCTCCCAGTTCAACCTGACACAAACCAGCATCCTGATGGCACCGGCCAGACCCCCATTCTCCAGTTCCCAGCACATCTGCCTTCTGGAAACACTTCCTCATGTCCCACCTCGGCCTCTTCTCGACCCTTCTTTCTCCAGGGCAGACAAACAAGGGGTGTTCAGACCTGCCCTGGGGGCCCTTGAGGCTCTCCCTGCAGCAGAAGGTTAGAACCGGGCTACTGCTTATTCTAGAAGTGATCAGAGAAGGGAAAGCCAAGGCTCAGGGCGACGGCACGTTTTCCAGGATCACACAGCAAATGGCTGTAAACTCAGAGTCCCGAGCTGAGACCTCAGATCATAACCAATTGGAGTCACAGCCAGCTGAGCCTCCCACGTTTTATTTCATTGCATCCTCCCCACAAGCTTCTGAAGAAGGAACCTTATCACCGTCTTATGGATGGGGAAACTGAGACCCATAGAGGGTCGCTGTACAAGGTTGCAGGGTAACACTATGGTTCAGAGCTCACCTGCTGGGTCAGAGTGGACAGAGATCAGCGTCTGGCTTTGCCATCTGCGAATGGATGGTATTCTGGGAGGCTGCACACCCAGGAAGCGTGTGTCACACCCTAGTTTCACACTAAGTGCTCCGGACTTTCACGATATGGTGCTTTTGTCCAACATTGCACCTGGTGTCCTTGCAGGCCTCTGAGAGCCTGAACAGAGCCACTGGCAGGGTGGAGGTAGCTGGTCCTTTGATAGGAAGTCACAAGCAGGTAGCTGCTGGCTTCCTGGAGAAGGAACTGCCCAAAGGTGTGGAAGTGGGAATGTGCTGGGTGTGACAGCTACAACGGGGAGGTGGTGAGAGAGAAGTGCTAAGTCAGACCATGATGGTCCTTGAACGCCAGGCTGTATTCAAGGGAGCAGGGGCTTTCTCCCAGAGCAATAGGGAGTCATGGGAGGTGTTAGAGCAGGGGGTGGCATGGGCAGATCTAAGGCAGGTGTGGGAATTTGAACGGGGGCCAGGAGGAAATAGAAGCTGTGATCCAGATGGAAGGAAAGTAGACATGAGCTGAGACCGAGTGGGTCAGGGAAAGGCCCAGGGGGAGAGTGGGCAGAATATGGGGACTGACAGGCCATGGGGAGTGAGGAGGAGGGAGGAAATGAGGCCAATGGTTGAATCCCTGCCTCAGAGGTGGGGAACGATGGTAAAATTGTCTCTGAGATGGCACAGGGAGGGGTGGGTTTGAGGAGGAAGATTCTGAATTCAGGCCCCTGGGGATGTTCTGGGGAAATGCTGAATAAGTGTGGAGAAGACCACTGGGCCTAAAACAATACCTGGTGCCTATGTGATCAAAAACTGCCTGTCAATGGAATGGAGGGATGAATGGGTGGGTAGTAGAGGGATAGAAGGATGGAGGAATGGACAGATGATGGATGGATGAGTGAACAAATGAGTGGGTGATGGATGGATGGGTGGGTGG